ACCCACACCCACAGAGGCACACCTACAGAGAAAGCAGGTGTGCCATACAGCTCACCCCGTAGGACTATTAAAGACTATCTTATCTTTTAAGATCGTAATAGGAAGGAGAAAATTAACGTAAAGTGTAACAGATGCTTAAAAAATCAAGCTTTTACTCCAAGAAGGAAAAGAAAAGCCAGAAAAGTAGCAAAACAAGGAGATAATTCTTCTGCTTTTGTTTTTGTGGTGTCAGGGATCAAATCCAGGGTCTTATGCATCTAAGCAATTACTATACTCTCAGCCTTGAAAAGACCATTCCAAGCAGCAATCCATAAAAGCTTTATAAAAATTAACTGAAATATTCCTTCTTTATCTCCATCTACAAAAATTATCATAAAGGAATATACTATGTGCCCAGCATTGTGCTAGTTACTACTGTTGAGACAATTAAAAATTCAGTAAGTAAAATTTCAGTAAAAATTAAGAAGCTCTTGAGGGCAGGCATGGTAGCGCACACCTAAAATTCCAGCACTTGGGAGGCTGAAGCAGGAGGATCATTGCAAGTTCCAGGTCAGCCTGGACTATACAGTGAGTTCAAGGGCAGGCTGAACTACATAGTAAGACTCTTGACTCAGAGAATAAAAAATAAAAAATAAAAAAATAAAAGAGAAAGTGAGAGAAACCACTGAAGCAACTGCATCCTTAAGTGCTTTGCTGTATGTTACAGTATGCAAGTGAAGGAATCAGGCCATGCAAAAGAGCCAGGTGAAGGCAGAGGTTAGGACATTCCAGACAGGGGAGTGACAGCAGTACCTAAAGTGTAAAAAGGGCAGGCACGATCACGTGCATACATGGGAATTTCAATCACATAGACATAGCCATTCACAGATGAAACACAGTTCATTTCATCTATATTCTGTCTCAAATACGTGTTCGGCATGGCACAAGCCACTGCTGTTCCAGGAGATGAAAACAAACGCTTGAACATTATCTCATAGCCCCTAACCTGCAGTGATGGATTCTGGTCAGGTGAGACCAATAAAGTGAAATATCCATGGGATTCAGCCACAGTTCAGACAGCCACACTAAGTAGCCTTGAGGGATGGCATAGTGAAATAAAATTCAAAGAGTCAAGGAAAGGATTGTTTCATCTCTGGATCAGGATTTATTGCTGGAAAAGATGGTATGGTACTGGTATTTATGAGCCAAAGAAAATTAACTACTCTAACTTATAAGAAAATCATGAACAATGACTGATCTACACAGTGAGAACTACACTTAATTCTCAGAGCTATGAAGTACAGTCAGGTTTGAGATACAGATAGATACACATATCTGAACACCCAGAATCTTGACTGACATGATGACAGGGTATAAAGGCAGACCTAGAAACCTGGGTATTGGCCAAGAATCTTGCTAATGAGAACTGGTGATTCCTCCCACAGACTCCTAAAACCACCTCCTTCCCCTCCAGACAACTTGGCTTATTCACTGTAACCCAAACAGAGTCGGCTTTCATGCCCCTGCTCATGCTACTTTATCTACCTGGAATGTTCTCCACCCACATGTCCACCTAGACAAGTGTGTACTACCCCATCCTTGGGGACTCAGTTTCTTCTGTATATGGTGCCTCTGACTCAATCTATGGCACCTCGTCCTCTTCTGAACTTTTTGAACAATTAGTTTATATGAGTACTTGGCAAATAATTGCCTAAGCTCTCTATAAAGCTTATCTTTTCTGTTGATTTCTTGACCTATTCTCAAAAGCAATAAAAATTTTCATGTTCTCTCTGTTTCACTACATGCCACCTCTTTAAAAGATAAGCAGCATACTTGATTCAATTGTTTAGCTCTACCTGCTGCAGCCTCTAGAGTAACATAGAATTTTGAGTAACATAGAATTGCATGAGTTCTGTTTCACATGCCACCTTGAGTAACATAGAATTTTCCCTCTTGTGCACAAGAGTTAAGTTAGGTTCATCTTAGGAATCCAAAGACAAACATGACACATGACATTTAGAGGCTGTGCAACCAATGAATGTGAAATACAAAAAAAAAAAAAAAAAAAAAGAAAAACAAAACAAACACAAAACATTGCCTCATGTGCTCAAAGCACTGGGTTTGATTCCCTAGCACTGCCAAAATACACACAACATTAACAACTTTAAAAAGCCAAAGAGATTTAATTTTGTTACAAAGGAATATAGTTCTGCAAACTAACGTAACTCTAAAACATCAATTTGGAAAATGTTTGCAAAGTTCTGGCTAAGCCATGTATTTGCTAGAGGTCACCTATGAAGGCTGAAATGAATGGCTCCATATTTGACTCTTACTACAGTGTCTTATATGCAGTTCGTATTTAATAAGTGTACTTAATGTCAACTAAAATGATAAGCCAAGAGTAACTAAATTACAAGGGCATTTCTCAAAGTATATAGCTTCTTTTCTGGGGGAGAGGAGTGGAATTTCTTAAATAATTTTAAATAGGGCAGGGGATTTAGCTCAGTGGCAAAGCGCTTGCCTTGCAAGTGCAAGGTCCTGAGTCCAATCCCTGGTAACAAAAATAGTAATAATAATAATAGTAATAGTAATTTTAAACAATCTATGAAATTACTGTTTAATTTACCTCTTTATCTGTTTTCTGTGCACTTGGGAAAACTATGGGCACCTGGGAAAACTTTAAACACCATTGCTAATAAGTATTTGGCAGACACTAACCTTTGGTGTTATGTGTATTAACTAACCATCAGGACAACTCAATTATATAGATAAGATCAAGGCACAGATTTGAGTAACTTGGACTTCTGTATCTGCTGGTTCCTCATCCTCATATCAACTGAGGATGAAAAATATTTGGGGAAAAAAAATACACCCGAGATGAAGATATAGAAACTTTTTCTCATCACTATTCCCTAAGTAATATACAGTATGACTACCTACACAGGGTTTATATTATATTACATATTATAAGTAACCTAGAGATATATAATATTTAATATATGTAAAATATGCATAGGTTATTTGCAAATACAGCAACGTTTCTTATCTGAAATTTCACTTACTGCAGTTTGTTATCTGTGATCAACAAGAAGAGTGAGTACCATACAATATTTTGAGAAAGACCACATTTGTATAACTTTTATTACACTATATTGTCATAATGGTTCCACTTTGTTTTTCTTATTGTGCCCAATTTATAAATTCAACTGTATCACAACATAGCATAGAGACTATACTCATAAGTGAAATAAATCAGACTCACATGTGTAAACATGTTTTATCTCCCTAGTGTGAGAAGCTGAATGAAATATATATATATATATATATATATACACACACACACACACACACACACACACATATACATACACACATATAAAAGAGAGTTAAGATAGTTATACTACTAATTTCTCTTAATTCATTGAAAAGGAAGGTTTGTGCTAATATTGTTTGGACAATTAATACAGGTATCTTGTCCTCTGAGTAACTGACTTAAAGATACACTACACGATGTATTAACCATTGTTATTCTTTAATTATCATGTTGTGAAATTTTGAGTTTTTCTCTTTTAAAAAAAGAAAACACAAAGCATTAACAGAATTCAGTATTATATGAAGTTTTAGGATAAGTGGGGGGGGGGGGTCTTAGAGTACATCCCCTGCAGAAATGAACAGAGTGCTGTAACACATCCTTTTAGGTAAGGAATGGCAGCAGCATCAGATTTTAAACTTCGCAGCAAGTTCTAGCAGCAACTGCCTGATCAACAATTTGGATACTACTATGCAACACTCTAGTCAGAAAGACATTGTGCAGCTTTGAAGCTGCCTACCTTTGGAAATCTTGGAACCACAGAATGAGCACTAAAGAAAAGCTGAGAGAGGCACCTTATTTTACACATGTGGAAACTGAGGTCCAACCAGCCAGGTGTAGAACTCATGTGTGCAGTCTTGCTCAGATACATACCAAAGCCTGATCAAGAAAAGACGAAGGCTCTGTGTGCTTTGCAATTTCAAAGATTAACCTAGTGATTTTTTAATTCTCAAATTAGAGTTGACAGGAGTAACTAATATTGAGATGTGGAGTTAGTGAAGCATCCAAACCTAGATTATGATTTTCACTTTATGAATTTAAACAGTAATGTTAGGCTATAAATTTTACAAGAAATGAGGCAAAGCTTCCAGGAACTTCCCCCACAATAGCTATTTTGAAACCCCATTTATTGTCATCTTTTAAAAGTCACACTGCTTTAAAGCTGTATACTCTATCAACAACGAAATAATCACACGTAGATTTATAAAACAAATTTTCCTGGAAGCCCGTTTCAGGGCGTTAAGTTGTGACTACATTCTCAAGGATGTCAGTAACACAAGGACTCCTCCATAACTCCCTGAAAAAACTGAAACCATGAATGCCTTGTCAAATTCAGACAGTTTATCTTGGCACTGGCAAGCATAGCAGTCTCTTCGATGTCTGGAAACGTGTCTAATTAGGTTTCGCTAGTAACTAAAAAAATAGCCGGTGTCCCGGAACAGACAGGCAGCTCAGGGATCACTCCAGAGCATCCTGAATGACAGGATGGAACAAAGCCAGGAAAAAAAGAAGAAAGCGAGCAAGAAAAGCAGCAAATAAGAAACGGAGGAGATTGCCAGGCCCTCTCCAAAACAACTCTGCAGTCTTCCTCGCGGCTATCGCGGACACCACGGCTCCATCCGAAGTTTTGCTTTTCCTCACTTTGTTTCCATGAAGTCACTGGCCCCGCCCACACCTCTCACCTGGAGCAGGGCAGGCTGGAGCGCAGCCCCCCAGCACCTCCAGCTCCGCAAGTCCCTCACGTCCCCACGCCGGACAACGCCCGAGCACAAATCGCACCTTCAGGAAAAAGCAGCCCTCGACCCCCGCACGTCCCTTAACCCCAACAGTGCACCTCAGAAAAGGCAACCCCAGAGCCCCGCAGAGCCCTGACACCCCGAATCCGGCCGCACCTCGGCAGCGCCCCTGCCCGCCGCCGCTCCGCCCTCACCTGAGTTTGAGGTTGGCCATGAACTCGGGCATGGAGACGGTGTCCATCAACACGAAGTCCGCCTTGCCGAACTCCAGGCTCTCCTGCTCCGCCATGGCGCCGGCGCGCGGGCAGCGGGCTCAGGTGGGCGCAGCGGGCTCAGGTGGTCGCGCTCGGGCCGCGGGGGCTGGGCTGGGGCCGCGGCGAGCTCGGGCGGGGCCGCGCCGCGGGGCTGAGGAAGCGGGAAAGGGGCGCGGACGCGACAGAGGACACCCCGCCGCTCCTCAGCGAGCTCTGGGCCGGCGCGGCTCTGGGCGCGCGTACCCAGCGTTTCCGCTCCTCCCGCAGCCGAGACCCAGATGGAGACGGCGGCGGCTGGTCCCGCCTCTAGTCGTGAAGCCCCGGCCCCGCCCCTCCCCGCCTCCCTGGCTCCGCCCCCCGGAGGAGCCCGGCCCAGCCGCGCCACCAGCCACCGCCTCCTCACCTGGGCGGCGCGCACGCGCGGGACGAGGGCGCGCATCTTGCAGGCGGCAGCGACTGGGCAGCAGCGCCCCCTACAGACAGACTCTGGGATATCGAGCGGTTGAGCGTTGGAGCTATATAAGACGCTAGGTGGAATCAGTTTTCTAAAACAGCTGTCTTCTGCCTGAGACCCACAAAGTCACAGATGTAGTTTGTAGAGTTTTGGCGAGTGTTATTCACTGTAATTCTGTCACCTTGCGTCCAAGCGCTCTCTCTCGTGTGCTCACGCACCACCCATCCCTGAAGTGATTGTTCAAGCTAACATTTTAAGAACACGGAATATGCCCAGAGCTAAATTCTAAATGCCTTACAGGGAGCCGGGCGGGGCGGCTCAAGCCTGTAATCCCAGCCCTGGAGAGGTTGAGGCAGGAGGATGTTGTGAGTTCGAGACTAGCGTGGGCTATAAAGTGAGCTCAAGGCCAGCCTGAACTGCATGGCGAGACCCCATCTCAAAAAGACAAAATAAATAAATAAATGCCTTATAGAACTCGTGGCATAGTTAGGAGTGGAAAAGCTGCAGCTTCATGCAGGTCTTTTGCCTTGAGTGCCAGTGGCCTGCCCAGTTCCCAGTTGTCCATTTTCTTCTCTACTCATCTGAGTGTGCATCAGACTTTACCTTATGTTTTTAAGTTTTTAGTATACAGATGCACCATCTCTCTGGGATTATTGCAGACCATGTTTTAAACTTCTTGGTATTCCTCCTTGGCATCTGCCAAACAAAGACATAACATTATAGTGCCTTGTGCACATAAATATGAAATTCATCCTGGTCCCATGGAATGCAATGAGTTGTAAGTGGTTTCCAAATCATAGATTCATTGAGTGCTTGGAAAATTCTTGTACAACATAGAATGCATTTTCCAATGAAAATGCAAGGGACATTCTAAGGCATCTCCTCTTCTCCAGTCCTGTGTTCCCATTAGGACCATCTTCTGCTACAAAATCTGCTAGGAAATCTAGAGGCCTCCAAGAACCTGGCTGGGCTTCAGTTCTGTGGCTGAATTTGAGATGAGTAAACTATACTGAAAGACCTTACTGAAGGCCTGTTTCACCAGCCAGCAACCCACACTTGCCAAGAGAGAAGAAAGTGGCTTGATCACCTCGTAGAGAACTCTTTTGCCATGGGAAAAGTTTCCCAGGCGCTGGCACAGACAGAGCTATCCAGGATGCAGTCTGGCTACCGTTAGCAGCTTTCTTTCTATAGAAGACACCTGCTGGATCACAGTCCTCATGGTGGAATAAGATCTCTGGGCGACACACTTTCCAGGTAGGCCTGTCCTGTGTTTGAGTCACTTGTGTGAGTTGGGCTGTGGTTAAACAGGCAATTGTACAGTGTGTCTGCATTCTTAAAATGTTCATGATGCTGTGCTTTGACATATATAAGTAGAACTGAATCTCAAAAACAAAAAAAAAAAAAAAAAAGAAAAGAAAGAAAACTCAAAACTCTGTGCATTTTGGAGTAACCAGGGAAGACACTCCAAAGCCCACTGGTAATTGGATATGTGTATTCCCTGAGTTCTGAGATTATTGGAAATCAGGACAAAATCCCAGGAATCAGGAAAAGAAACATCAAAGTCTGCAGAGGATGAAAGAAATACAAAAATTGTCTGGAGGTAGGAAGTCTAGTGGGTGACTATGTGGTGTCCAAATGGCCAAAATAAGAAAATTTTATTATCATCAGTATCTTGTACAGGAAATCAAAAAATACAAAACATTGGGGCTGGGGATTTAGCTCAGTGGCATAAGCGCCTGCAAGTGTGCGGTCGTGTGTTCGATCCCTGGTACCGATAAAAAACCAAACAAACAAACAAAAAAACAAAAAAACATGGGCAATAATATATACAAAAGGTGTTTTATTAACTATGTATAAACCAAAATTAATATAAATTCAAGCATTGAGACCAATGAGTCTTTTTTGATGAATTTCAGTCTGTCCAATGAGGCTCACCATTGACTTATACTTTGAGCTTCTAGTTAACTTTTGTATGTTGTTTTGGTTGTACGGTATCAAGGAAATTTGGATTTGCATGATTTAGCAGTAATTCCTTATTCATATAGTTTCAGCCTTTTTTAAGGTCAGTGCAACCCTATTCATCAGTGACACATCGTCAGAATTCAAATATACATGCAGAAACAGGACAAGAGGCTAAATACTAAGGCCTGTATTCAAGCAAAGTAAAGTAGAGCAGTTTGGCCCATTTTAAATCTCCCTCATGGTAAAATTTGAATAGAAATATATTTGGATATGTAAGCTTTTGTTGCAGTTTAAAATACAGTGTCCAGGCACAGCAATCCTAAGTCATTGGGAAAGGGAAAGGAGTAGGGCTGCAAATTTGAAGCCAGCTGAGGCTTCATAGTGAGACCCTGTCTCAAAATAAGTAAATAAATAATAACAATTAAAATTAATGCGCTATAAGTAAAAGTTTACATCATCAGTAATGACACTAACATTACAAGCTTCCTGATAATGATCTTCTAAAAAAAGACACAATATTGCTGTCTTGCTAAAAATATATAAACTGAGTCTAATAATGAAGGAACATTGAATATACCTATGGTAAGAGGCATCTTACAAAGTAACTAATTTATACTCTTCAAAAACATCTCAGAGGGCCAAGGATTTGGCTCAGTGGCATAAGCACCTGTCTGGCAAGTGCGAGGTCGTTAGTTCAATCCCTGGTACCAAAAAACAAAACCAAAATCTCAGAATATAAAAAACAAAGAGGCTGATGTACTGGCCCAAATTAAAGGAAACCAAAGAGTCAGGCATGGTAGCACATGCGTGTAATCCCAGCACTTAGGAGGCTGGGGCAGGAGGATTGCTGTGAGTTTGAGGCCAGCCTGGACTACATAGTTAGATCCTGCCTCAGCCACTTCCTCCACCCCCAAAAAAGAAGACCACCTAGACATCACAGCTAAAGGCAATGTGTGATCTTGGACTGGGAAACCAGATGTGAAGGATATTACCAAGACAATTGATAATACAAATAGACTATATAGTATAATGGCAACGTTAGTTTTCCTAAATTCAATCATTGTACTGTAAGAGAATATCCTTGTTCTTAGCAGCAGATAGATGTCTGCTAAATTACTTAGGTGATGTACTGGTTAAGATTTCTGGTTGCTGGGACCAAATACCCAACACCCACAACCTAAAGGAGGAAATGGTGTATTTGGCTTATAGTTTAAGGGATTTAGTCCATGGTAGGCAGACTCCAACCAAGAAACATTATGGTAAAACAAGAAGCTGGGTTCATAGTCAGTGAGAAACAGTTCAAGAAGGGGCCAGAAACTAGAGATAGTACCCAAAGTATGTCTCCATGACCCACCCATACACACCTAGAAGAGTGCTTTACCAATCCCTTAAGTGGCTCCCATGCCAGTCAAGTCAAAAATTAAGCTTGACCATCACAAGAGAAAGCACTATGGTGTCCAAACTTTTGGCAAACATAACAATTATTATTATGATAAGATAAAGAATAGGAGGTGGAGATATATTTATATAGAAATAGATAGAGGTATAAAACAAAGATTAACAGTTGATAAAATGTGTTGGGGGATTCTTTACACTGTTTTTAAAACTTTTATGTAAATTTGAGACCATTTGGAAATATAAAGTTAAAATAAAAAAAATTTAGAAGTGCTCTAAAATTTTAAAAGTTTATCTGGAAAATATCAAATGACATTCAATAATGAAAGTGATGTCAGAAGTCTGCAGATCTTCCAGAACTGAAGAACCTGAAGATACTTTGAAAACCCAGTCTGGGATGTCTGTTAGTGCTGCCTGGCATTGATATGCTAGGAGGTTATGAACACTGACAGGCAATTCTAACGGCAAAAGTAGTTGAATGTTTACCTTAGTTGACAAATATATCCATGTGCTCCACAGGGAATCCATCCCATTCTCAGCCTGAAATTCTCTTCCCTGCTCCACCCCTTGCTCCTATGGCCTGGCTCACTTCTGCTCATCTCTTAGCTGCCAGCTTCAGCACCATTTCCTTCAAGAGGCCTTCTGTGATCTCCCCAACAGAGCTGGCTATCACCCCTCTACCCCTCAGTATCTAACAAGGACTACCCTGGTAGAGCACCAGGGCCCTTGAGCCTGTTTGTCCATCTCTCTTACTAGTTTTTACGGGCCTTAAGAACTAGAATCCCAGGCTGTTCTTTTAGGTAACTCTGGTGCTTAGCAGCACGGCATCTAGGATTTGAAGCTTTTCATAAACATTTGCTTGATAAGTGAATGTGGAATGCTCTGTGAAATTATGAGTCACGTAATGTGGGGTTATAAATACACTCCCTTGAAAGATTTTCTACATGAAAATCAATCAGCATATGTAGCATTTTCCTTACTCCCAACTTTTGCCCTGGAAGCAGATCTCAAGGCTGTGTTTACTTTTCCTTCTGGACCAAGTCTGCGCACTGTGTTCATTCTGATCAAAATCTGCTCTTCTGAAAACCCCTCTGTAGTGGCCAGCTAGTGCAGAGGGTCTGTTCCAGGTTATCAGTGAGTATCAGCTCTACATTTTCCACTGTGAGTGTTTGTCCAGCTTGCTTCTGGGCTGCCCACCCTCCCTAATTTCTCCCTTCACTAGAGCTCTGAGGAACATGACCTTTTAGCATGAGTCTATGCAAACAAAACAGGAAGGCTAGCAGGAAAAAGCAAAAACAACAAAAAAAAACCTCCCAGCATATTCAAATGGCATTTTATAAATTTAGTTATAAACTCAAATTGTTATAGTAGAGAAGAAAAAGGCAAATTTGCATTGCAAATTAACTTCATAAACTACTCATAACTGTACTACTGAATGATTTGAAACACTTTTCTTAGGAAATATCCAAAAT